GCAATGATAATACCAACATGGGCCAGTGAAGCAACATCCTCCACAACTAGACTGAAGAACAAAACGACAGCAACTTGTCTGTTCCCCTTCCCCCAATTCACCAGCACTGTTCCCATCCCCCAATTCCCCAATAAAAAAAATCTTTAAAAAAAGAATATTATACATTTCTAATACATTTTATGGTCTGATGGGTCTTACCTTTGCCCATACCATACATTACACTTCTTTTTCAAAGTTTCTTGGTTACTCTCATACGGTAACAATTTTTCAGCAGCTTCTCTTGTACTTATAGGTTAATCTCCAAGATCTTGACAAAGAGATAATGGGGAGTTTTCATTTTTTAGTTAAGTTACTAAAGGCTATTGACAGTTGTTCACATTGCTTAGCCTGAATGTCCAAGTCACAGGGAGGCACCCAGCCCATGTCCCCCACAGCACATGATCACACCCTCAGTTGATACTCATCCACTTGTTTTTATAGAACTATTACACAGGATTGGAGCTTTTCCATAGCAGCCATGCCTGAGCATTACTTGTCTCTGAGTTGAGCGTGACAAGGCATGTGCTTTGCAGAAATAGTTGGTAGAATTTTTTAGGCATGGACATGCCATTCCAAAAGTTTTTAAAAACTAACCAGCATCCACAGGGATACACCTTCCAAAACAAAGACGCTTTATATGAAGTGCAAATATTTGTTCAGAAATGGCAGGAAACGCTTCCAAGAACTGCAGAAAAATCTGGTTAATTTAGCAATGCCCGTGAATGTGGCTGGGGGTAATTTGACATTTTTCAGGTACAGTGTTGTTTTTTAATACAAAGAAGTACAGCTAAAATGAAAAAAATTCCTACTATCTCACCACATCGGCATTCTAAAAAATAATGTGTAATCAAATATGAGAGTTACAGAGAGGGAGAGTAATAAAGTCCCCCACACGCCCACTTCCGCTCAGTTCCCCACCTCAGAGCAATCAGTTATCACAGTTTCTTATTGCTCCTTCCAGGAAAAATAAATTGATGTATATATTACCATTTATAACCACATATGCTTTTAATTTATACAAAGCTGATCCCATGTGCCCTACTGTACATTGGCTATTTTTCACTTAAAATATTTTCCAAGTTTTTCTACATCAGCAATAGACATCTGAACCTTCCTTTTTAATGTGTATGGAGTGTCCCATCCCCCCACAGTTGTACCACAGTTTCTTTAACCAGTTCCATACTGATGGACTTTGAATTACTTTCATTTCTCACTCTTACCAACACCCATCTGGAATATCTCTCGAATGTGTAGCATGGCATACATTTGAGAGTACATTATTAGAACAAACTGTTAGTAGTATGTTCCCTGGGACCCAAAACAAAAGTCATTTTGAAAACTTGACAGCTATTGCCAAATTGTGTCCAGACAAGTTCACATTCCCAACAATAGTGAGACTGTTTCATCACAGCTTTGCCAGCACTGGGTATTACATTTTTAGAACTTTTCCCAATCAGATACATGGAAATTAGTGTCTCATAGTTGTTTTCTAGAGTCTCTGCTGTATTCCATTCATCTATATGTCCATCCTTTTCTCATGACTGTCTTTGCTGTGCATTTCTTTATTAAGTGTGAGGTTGAGCATCGTTTTATGTATTCACTGGCCATTGATACTTGTTTTTCTGTAAACTTCTTTTTATTATTTTATCTTTTATTATTAGTTTCAGGTGTACAAAACAATGTAAGAGTTATACATTTCACCCCTCACAAAGTGATAACCCTCCTCCCCCAATCTATTGCCCCTCTGAAGTCATATGTATCTATTACAATTCCATTGACTCTATTCCCTATACTATACTCCATATACCATGACTATATATATATATTATATATATTATATATATATATATATAATTATAGTTGACATACAATATTATTCAGCTTCAGGTATACAATGCAGTGGTCAAGCGTCTACACCGTCCATGAAGTGGTCTCCCTATTAATATATATGCCCATCTGATACCCTACAAAATATTTCTACCATTATTGATTCTTATTCATGTCCTTGAATCATTTTTCTCAGGACTTGTTCCTGTTTTTCTTGATCACTTATATGAGCTTTCTGCAAATGAAGGTATGAAACCTTCGTCTATCTTTCCCCAGTTTGTCAGTATCTTTTGCCTTTATTTTTTTTCTCATGTAAAAAATTAATTTTTCTGAGGTCACAGTGGCTAAGTAGCCAGTTTTCTTTGATGAGTCCAGGTTACATGAGACTGGAACCTTGCCCTGGGTCCCAGCTGTAGCCTGCATTTATGTGCAGAAGACCAGACCTTTGCACTCCAAAAGTTCACTCGACTTTCAAAGCTTCCTCCCTCCACCACAAGATAATCAATTATCCACCCATCTTTCCCTCAGCAACTCTTACAATTTCATTTTATAATTTTTTTTTATCTTTCTGGAATTAACTTTGACATAGGAGTGGCTTATTTCCCCAAATAGCTTGTCCCAGCACGATTTTCTGAATTCATCTTTCCCTCACCAATTTGAAACCCCACCTATGTTGTAAACTGTAATTCTATATTTATGTAGCTGTGTTTCCAGACTCAATATTCTCCCATTCTTCAGTCTGCACCAAACTATTTTAATTATTGTAGCTTCATAGGAATACATTTTAGTGTTTATCAGAGCCAATCACCTCTCATTATTGACCTAGCTCTCCGTTTTTTGGTTGTTTCATATTTTTCCTCCCTTGCACGCATAGAAAATGCTTCAGTTAAGCACAAACAGAATCTTGACAAAGCAGCGGTAGGAAATTCTTGCTCCGGAGTTTTGATCTTGAACATTCTGTTAAGTGCTCACTTGTCTTACCTAAGTGTGAAAGTCACAGGAGAAACACTCAGGACTCGCCTCGAGCATGAAACTGGACTAAGACTGTTGACATTAGCTACACATTCACTGTTGTTCCGGAACATTTCTGTTGAGGCTGGGCCCCAGGGTTGTGCTTTACTTGAGCGTGACCAGACTTGTACACTCTGCAAGTCCTCTGGCTTTTCCAGTTTTGCAAAAATGGATGAACCCAGGCTGGAATTTTAAAAATTGACCCTTGGGAAACTAAAAAGTCTTCTAACCCAAAACATGTTGATTAAAAAATTCAAATACACATCTCAAGATGACAGGAAAAGCTTTCTTCCAAGATTTGCAGCAGAGCTAATTAACTTGGCAGAGAGCGGTAACGGAATTTGCACATCTAACACGTGCGTTTGGCGTGGTGACTTTTGAATGTGGGAAAGTAAAAGAACCCCCACTTCACTCTCCTCAAAAATGGCCCATGACCCAGCTGCCAGATTTTTTATACTTTAAAAAAAAATGGAGTTGAAATTCACATAACATAAAATCAACTATTTTAAAGTGTACAGCGCAGTGGCATTTAGTACATTCACAATGTTGTACAACCATCACTTCTATCTAGTTCCAGAACATTTTCATCTCCCCAAAGGAAACCCCGTACCCATTAGCAGTCACTCCCCATTCACCCCACCAGCAACTGGCAACCACTAGTCTACTTTCTGTCTCTATAGATTTCCTGATTTTGGACATTTTGTATAGGTAGAATCATATAATACGTGACTTTTTTTTTTTAATTGGGGAATTGGGGGGATGGAAACAGTGCTGGGGAATTGGGGGAAGGGGAACAGACAAGTTGCTGTCCTTTTGTTATTCAGTCTAGTTGTGGAGGACGTTGCTTCACTGGCCCAAGTTGGCACCATCATTGTGCTCTTCCCCAGCGAGCTCACAGTGGCTGCTGGCCGCTCACGCTGGCTGCTTGCTACATACGGTAGCCCATGGCAACCCACTGCCACAGGGGCTGCAGCCTACGCTGTGGCCAGCGACTCACGGCAGCCCAGCTCCAGGTTGAGCTATTGTTCAGCATCTTAGCTGTAGAGGGCAGTGTCACTGGCCCTCATATGTGGGATCCGAACTGGGGCCCTCTGGCGTCCCAAGCCAGTTCTCAACCATCGCGCCACTCGGCCGGCCCAATATGTGACATTTTGTGCCTGATTTCTTTCACTTAGCTTAATGTTTTGCAGGGTTAGCCATGTCGTAGCAGGTATCAGTACTTCATTGATTTTTATGGCTGAATATTTACTACTTTAGAAAAAAATAAAAACAATATGAGTAGATGGAAATTGACAAAGTACAGGAAATCAAAATGAATCCTGAAAGTCCCCCCTTGCACCCTCTCCACCTGCCCCCTACCCCGTTCCTCACTCTAAGGGCAATCCCCGTCAAAAACAAAACAAAAAACCCTGTATCTTTTGAAACAAATACATCTGTATGCATCTATTAATATCGGATATCAATGTATTTATTCCTTTTAAAAATATTCAATAAATCATTACAGGTTTTTTTTGCAGTACAGTTTGTTCACTAAAAAGTATGGCGTGGGCAGAACCGTACCAGACCTGGTCCCATTGTTGGCTTTCCCCCCACGTGGGGCTGTGGGAGCCTTTCACACTTTACTGATGATGGAGTGGGTGTAACTAGAGGGAGTGACAGTATTGTGGGAGGTACTTAAACATCTTGGCCAAATATGGCGTTTCCCACAGAGGGGGCAGGGGGAAAGGCCCCAATCAGCAAGCCTTCCACCGGGTCTTTCCAAGCGTGTCTCCAATACCCAACCAGTTAGCTCCCAGTCCTTAAAGTCCAGCTTCCCTTTTGTCTCTTGAGCATCTCCCTTCCTCACGTGTGAATTATTCTATCTGGAATAATTTCTCAGGAGAAATTGTTTAAAATACAGTTTTTCAGTAGATACAATCCCCAAGGGATACCGACTCAGCAGGTGGGGCCAAGAAATAGCATTTTTAACAAAGACCCCAGGTGACTCTGATGAAGTGGCCACCCTAGTTCAGGAGTTCCTAGCAGGGGTGGGGGTTGGGCACAAGAAAATTACGTTTTTAGCTGAAAGACCTCAGCTTCTGTCTGAGGGGAGGGATGGCAAGGGTTTCCATCATCCAGCTACCTTTAAAAATAAACCACATTTTCAGAAAATTCACATCACCAGTTACTTGGTCTAGAAGCTTCTAGAAATGCCAACATCTGTGGGAGATCGTTTCACATTGGTGGACAGTCATATAGCAAAGAGGACAGGCATCTCAATGGCTTTTTCTCTCATGGAAAATGGACAATCCTCGAAGCTTAAACGCAAGTCTGACAATAGCTCACACCTGGCTGGGAGTCTAGGACAGTGTGTATTGTTCAGCGGAGGAACCCTTTTCTCAAATTAAATAGCCCATTCCACCTCCACCTATAAGAGACTCAATGGACATTTAATTTGCTAACCTTTATTTCATGACATATACATTGACAATTACTAATCATTATGTCAATTGGTTAACACAATGAAGCCCATTATAACGAACCTGGTTTTGAAACCAGGCGCTGGTGAGCTGCAGGCTTTCATCACCTTGAGAGTCCAGTTCACTCCTGTGTTCTATTTTGCTCACATCCAGGAAAACCATGGTGCACACAAAAGAAAAGCTGAAAATGGAAACTGTGTTCTTTTTTTCTGCATCTTCGGTTAAAACTCACCCAGGATTTCAAAAGGAATTGTCACAAGAGCTTTGTTCTTAAAGTTGAATCACTAACAACATCTAACAACTGTTCACATTCTTTATCACAAAAACGGAAGTCAGAAGAGAGACTGAAAACATAAAGGGCTAAACCTCTCTCTGACAGAATATTATTACTGTGCGCCATGTTAACACAGTTACTTGCTATCACAATTGAAAATCACAGCCTGACAAGAGCATGTGAATTACAAAGTGTTCCATTACAGTGCATGCACCATACTGAATTTCTCCCACTTCTCGCCTTTCTCATCAGTCACATTTAAAAGGAATTCATTTATATGCAAATAGGTGGCAGAAGCAATTCTTTTGAGACCTGTACAGAAACAAGTTAACTTATAAACACCAAGTAATATTTTGATAGTCTCTGATGTGATTGGTTTGGCTTACAACATATTCAAGTAATCATTTTTCAGTGTTGTTGTTTTTCTTTTAATACATGAGAAAAAATAGATTCAGGTTACGTCTTTGAGCACGCCTTGGGCCTCTCTGGGATAGTTTGGATACCAATGACCTCAGATATCCTGTGCCTCCGCCTACACACGCGCACACAGGAGACATGGTATTCTGGTCTATTCAGAGGGCAGAAATTGACAGCCAATTTTTTAGAATGTTCTCCCTTTTACTATAATGTGAGAAGTGTCTTCAGCTTCAAAGGTGTTGAGAGTTTGGTGGCTTTGGGTGGCATCAGAGCAGGGAAGCCGGGACAGCCTGAGTCCTTCTCTAGCAATCATCCCTCTTTCCTGCAGGTTCCTGAAAGGATTTTACCTCAAATAGGAATCCAAGGACCATTTTTATTAACAGAACCTAAAACTCGTATACTTCAAAGATATTCTTCTTCCGCACAACTAACTCTTGGGACCTTACCACCCTCTGGTTAGATAACTGGAGGATGTTAGTTGAAGACTAACAGGAGGAGCAAGGAAGGCAGGTCTAGGAGGAGGTAAGAAAGCACGCCTGGCAGAAAAAAAAAGCATCAGGATACATATGCCTCCCTCCCTTAATTCCTCCTACCCAAGATCTCATGTAGCATTTACCTCTGAGAACCAGATACTCTACAAAGTGGGTCCCTAAAAGAGTCAAAAGTCTTGGTTCATTCAACGACAAGAGAAAACTTTGTTCCCAACTTGGAACTTCTTCCTTGGTCTTCTTTCAACTCCTTGGGTTCGGGTGGTCCCCCAACTCAAAGCTTCCTGGGTTCTGTAGATAAATCAGAACAGCTCAAGGGAGGCAGGGACAAGTATCATTAGAAATTTGTTTTACTTCCTGGGACTTTCTAAGTCTTGAACATTTCTACCCTCCAACCAGGCCTCCAGAACACTCCACCCTCAAAGCCACCTATCCCAACAAACATTACAACCCCCCAAACCATTCAACTCTTCTCGGGGGAGATGGCAGGATGACCTGAGACTATCACAGCAATACTGATCACCAAAAGACGGGTCGGAGGGTTTGCTTTGCTGCCTCCTGTCCCCACAGGTGTCCCCAGTGTTGGACTTCAGGGCCTCCTAAAAAGGCGTTCAGGGCTTTCACCCTCTAAAACCTCAACTGGTTTGTCACCCACCTCCTCCACTGCACTGGGGTCCTCCTCATTGACCATGTGACATGCCACCCCCTTGGACTCATCAGCCCCCCACCTGCTGCCCCTGCTTCTCGTCCCTCATCCACTTGTTGACACAAACCCAAATGACTTCTGTTGTCATTCTCACCATGAGGAGAGCCTTCCAGCTTGGCCACTGCACGCTGTGATGTTGAAGCTGGCAACTCAGTAGGCTGAGGGCCTCGCGGGACCTTCTGAACCAGCACACCCCTTCTCGAGCCTGGCCCTGTCTTTGGAATCAATGGTTTCTTCTTGGCATCTTCCACATCGACAAGGACATAAGAGACAGGGCCCAAGCTGACCTTCTTTTTCTTCCTCATGGGGGCCGGGCTCTTTGCCGAGGCCCAGCCCATGGCCTGCTTCTTTGGTGGGCTGTCCTGACCACCATCTTGGTCTGACTCAGAGGCAACTCCAGTGCCCACAGCTTCTGACCTGGCATCCTGAGGTGCATTTCTGGGAGACTTCCAGGCACATTTCTCCACTGGCTTCTTCAAAGCTGACTCCTCCTGCTTCACACAGGGTTTTCTGTTGCTCCTGATATATTCTGAGATGTCCATATTTTCACCAACATTAGCCTCAGGATCTTCTAAGGAGGCCAAGCTGTTGGAATGATGCCCTTTGGGTTTCTTCCAGGACACTGGTTCCTGCTTGGGGTTTTTTTTCTGCTTCTTTCTCCTGAAGTGCGTCTTAACTCCAGCCTTACGAACCAAAGGTTTGGGAGGGTCACCTTCATCCTCCATGTCATTCCAGCTGTTCGGGTTCTCCATCTTCAAGGCAGAGACTGCCTGGGCAGCCCGCCCTGGTTCCTTTTTGACCTTCCTCCCTGCTGCTGAAGCAGAGGCTGCCACGGCCTGGGCCTCAGCGGCCTCCTGAGCCCTAGCTTCCTCCCGGCTGCAGATCTCAGCATCCATATAGAATATGATTTGTACCACTGCCCCCAGGAGGACCCCCAAAGCTTCTGCCCAGTTCTCTGGGGGCAGATTCTGGTTCTGGGACTGTGGGGGGCGGCTGAGCTGCAGAAGGCGGACCACATCCTCCCAGGTGCGCCCCTCCGCATCCAGGAATTCATTCAGGTTTTTTAAAAACTCTGCATCTTGGGTGGGGTCTCTGCAGACCACTTTCCAAACACCACCCCTTCCGGGAAATTCACGGGGTATGGCCCTCAGATTCACACCCTCCCCGACCTCAATTAGGGCGGCTTTGGCATTCTCTTCCCTCAAAAAAATCTTGTTGAGCACGAGGTACGGGCCCAGCGGGGAGAGCACTCCATTCAAGGTCTCCTCAATTTCCGCTTGGCCACAGTCTTCCGGGATACCCGTGACCAAGAGGGACCTGTGGATGTCCACTTCCATCCCCCGGCACCAGTCCTCCAGGAGGTTCATCGCCATGGTCGCGATCACCTGGCAGCTCTAATCCCACATGTAGTGAAGAGTCTACCAGGTGAATGGGGCTGCCGTGGTCCCCAAATATTAATAATCCTGTACGGTGACAAGAGAGGGAAATCAGATTCCCGGGAAGACCCCTAGGCTCGGAGACCTTGGCTGCCCCCGCCGCGGCTGGCCCCCAGGAGGCCTCGCGCTTTCCCAGGACCCTCCTCCCAAACCCAGCCCAGGGTGCTCACACGTGTCCTGGAACCGGTGGAACACCGCCCTCGGCCCCTCCTCCGGACCTGGCTCTCCGCCCGCTGGGCAGGGATCTGGCAGCCCCGCCGCCGACAGGCCAGCTGGGCTTAGGCGAGGCCTCCAGGAAGCAGCCGCTCGCCAGGCGCCGCCTCGGCCCAGCCCGGCGCGGCGACTCGGGGCGGAACCCGCGCGGGGAAGCCGGCGTCCGCTCCGCTCGGACCGGGACAGATCACACGGACCCCAAATCTCCGCTGCTGAGCCGACAGAAGGCCGGCGTCGCAGTGTGCGCTTGCGCACTTGCTCCCGCGCCGCCGCGCCACGCAGTGCCCGACGTCTCTATGGCAACCGTCGCTTGCGCGTGGTCTCTGGTGTTGGGCCTGGGGAGCCGGGTGGGAGTGGAGTGTTCAGCTGTTCACCGAGCGAGGTGTCTGCATTTTCTCTGATTGCCCCTCCATCTTTCCACCCTTCTCTATTCATTGTGGGCCTGGGGATGGACGTGGGGGGCACTAGCTTCTATTGCTGCACCCACTAGCCCTCCTATCCTCTGCCTGCTGGGTTCAGCCAACGGGACCCCGGGGAGACACCAGAAATCAAAGAGAAGAAAGCAGCTTTAATATCCCCTGGGTTATTAAACAAAAGTCACAGCTCCTGGCCAGAGCCCTCTGCAGCTAGTTCCTGGATTCCAGAAGTTTCCAGAAACTTATTGCTTCCACCAATGCCCCCCCATAAGCCTGGGGGTAATGCCTCACCTTTCCTTGCTGGTTGCTCAGCTTGCTGCCCGCAGGCAACAGCTTTGTTAATAATTAAACTCAGTGACTCAGTTTGAGTTGTGGTCACGGATACACCTAGCAATGCCACAGTCTTAGATAAGTAAACTGAGCTGTTTGAGCTCCTTTCTCTTCTCCACACTAGACATACCAATAAAAACCTTCCTGATCTGGAAGTTTAGAAGTTCAGGGAGATCACATCTGAAAGATACACTGAATTACAGTTTGGGCCTGGGGAGTCAACCAAAATTTGTTATTTGGATCTCATTTTGGAATTGGCCTTAGATCTCCATATTTTCACCAACATCAGCCTTAGGATCCTCTAAGGAGGCCTAGCTGTTGGAATGATGCCCTTTGGGTTTCTTTGCAAAGGCCAAGTTGCCGAAGAAACTGTCATCTACTGTCATCTGTGTCATCCCCGAATTTGGGCATGATCCGTATTTGTGTGGTCGCCCAAGTTCCCATCATATTTCATGCAAAAATAAGAAATCATTCAAATTGTTAAATCTAAATAGTCATGTTCCAATAAAGAAACACTTTAGCTATAACAAGAGTTTTAAAACCTCATGTTCTTTACACGTTGAAATTCTACGAAGCAGCTGAAGAATGCACATATATCATTACGCAGTGGTTTTTAAAACACGGCCATACATTTTTTGACACGCCTCCTTTTGAGAGGTGGGAATCTATGTCCCTTCCTCTTGAATCTGAGCAGACTTGTAATTGCTTTAACCAATAGAAAGTGTGATAGAAGGGAGATGATTGAACTAATAGAGTATTACCTAAGGGAAGCTATGGCGTCTCAGTCTAGGTTATAAAAAGCCAAGTAACTTCTTCCTTGTTCATTGTGACACACTCATTCTTGGATCCTTAAGCTTCCAAGTGGATTGTTCCACTATCCTCTGACTGCCATGCTGTGAGGAAGCCCAAGCCATATATGTGTGCACTCCAGTCAACTGTTTTCAGCTGAGCCCTGTCTTCAAATGATCTCAGCCCAGGTATGTGACTAAAGAAACTTCTAGATAATTCTAGCCCCCAACCATTTGAGTCACTCCCCAACCATTTATATCTTCCCAGTTGAGCCCAGGCATCATGTAGCAGAAATAAACCATCATTGCTTTACCCTGTATGAGTCCTCAACTCATAGAATCAATGAGTAATAACAAAACAGTTATTCTATGCTACTAAGTTTTGGGGTGCCTTATTATGCAGCAATAGATAACTGGAAGATATTGCAAAGGTAGAATGCAGCAAGAACCGATGATTGGCAAAGCATTACTACAAAAGATAACTGGGAACAACAATCTTAACTCAGTTCCTGTAAAGATTCCCTAAAGCAGCTTTTTTTCTAACAGCGCACAAAGTTTCACTTCATGGGATTTTTTTCAGTGAAGTAGTATCATCACCATCAACTAGCTCTTGCAGCTTGTGAGTTGAAAAGGAGATAAATCTTCTACTTTAGTTATTTAGCAAGGAAGGAAAGCTTAATAGTTGGGTGACATGTCATCATAAGCAGAGCTGGTCAAAATGTCTTGTTCCTTCATCACCCATTTAGTATCGTATACGAGCAGTAGAGTGGCCATTGGAGCAAGCTAGTAGCTGACTGTGCTGTAAAATTACACTGACTACTAAATTTTTAAAAAATAAAATTGTGATAAAATTTAAAGGTTTTGATAGAATTTCAGATGTATTCTTTTTTTTTTCCATATATAAGGATGCATTGTAGTTTTATCTGTAATTACAAAACAGGGAAAATAACCTACATGTCCATCAATAGGGGCTGGTCAAATAAAAAATATTTGTATGAAAGGTATGAGGTATATATATATATATGGATATATATATATGTGTATATATATATATTGCTATGTAGATAAGTGTGCCTGTTACCTTTCATGTAAAAAATAGGGGATATACTTATTAATGCATAAACAATTTCCAGAAGGATACATAAAAATCTATTATCAGATTTATTCTTAAATTTCCTGAAGTTCATTCTATGATGGTGATTTTTGCCTGTGACCAAATATTCAGCCATTCACTAGTTTGTCAAAATGTGTATTTGGTCCTGACACATAACAAGCTGTTATTAATATTGTAAAGGCAGGAATTCGGAGGGGCTTTCCCACTTCTGAACAGCATTCTTCTTTTACTGTCTTTCTAATGACCTAGAGTTTGTTCTGGGTTGGTTGGACCACTGGGTCCAGGAAAGTAACAAGAGGGTATGGCGTCTACCAAATAGGATGCTCTTGTCAAAAGAGTGTGGCAATTTGTACTAAAATCTAGTGCTAGCACAGGGAGCTGTTGTAAATTTGCTGATTGAGAATGGATAAAATGAAAAAGGTCAGAAAATACCAAGTGTTGATGAGAAGATCAACTAGAACTCTCATACATGTAAACAGCTGGTGGCAGTGTAAATTAGCACAATCATTTTGGAAAACTCTGGCTGTATCAACTAAAACAAAACATATGCAAACCCTGCAAGTTAGGATCTCTACTCTTAGAGATAGGTAGGTAGGTAAGTAGATTGATAGGTAGATAGATAGATATTAGATAGATAGATAGATAGATAGATAGATAGATAGATAGATAGATAGATAGCCAACAGAAATATATTCACTAAAAGCTACAGGCAAGGATATTCATTGCAGCACTATTCATGATAGCCGAAATCTAGAAGCCACCCAAATGCGAATCAAGAAGAATGGATAAGTTGTGGCATGTTCACAAAATAAAACCTAAACAATTAAAATGGATGACCTACAATTACACACAACAATATAAATAAATCTTGCAAAATGCTGAGCAAAAAAAACCCAAATACCCAAAAGCACATACAGTATGATTCAATTTATATGAAATACAAAAGCAAGCAAAATAATCTATGCTGTTAGAAGTTGGTATAGTGGTTTCTTGTGGGATGTCTAATGACTTGAAATGTGTGACTCCCAGGGGAGAGAGAGCTGGCAATGTTCTCTTTCTTGTTCTGGGTGTTGGTTACAGGTGTGTTCAGATTGTGAAAATTCAGCACACTCTATGCCAATGTTATGTGCACTTTTCTGTAACCATTTTATACTCAATAACAACTTTTAATGTTTTGCTGATGGATTGGATGTGAGATTCAAGGGAAATTAAGCAAGTGCCACCCCTAGGATTTTGGAATGAGCAACTAGGAGGAGAACGATGCCAGTTATTTTTATATAGGAAGGTTTGGTAGAGAACAGATTTGGGAAGAGGGAAGGAGACAAATCAGAAATTCAGTTGGGGCCATGTTGATTCTGACATGCTGTGTCGAGGGTCCCCAAGACCACCCTCAAGTTCAATGATTTGCTAGGAGTGTTCATGGGACTCAGAAAAATTATTTTACTCGCAGTTATAGTTTATTACCGCAAAAGGATACAGTTTAAAATCAGCAGAGGAAAAAGGTGATGGGACAGAGTCCAGGAGACACCAGGCATGAGCTGCCAGTTGTCCTCTCCCAGTGGAGCCATATGGACAGCGCTTAATCCTCCCAGCAACAATATGTGACAACAGCCATGGAGTATTGCCTACCAGGGAAGCTCATCTGAGCCTTAGTGAGCAGGGTTTTTATCCCGGATAAATCACATAGGCACAGAGCACCTGTGTTGCTGGCCTTAGTTACTCAGCCTCCAGCCCCTCCAGAGGTCAAACTGACACTGTGTGGCCCAAGGCCCCCACCATAAATCACATTATTGGCACAGGATTATTTAAGGGTTTAGAGGTTACCTAGGAGCCAGTAAAGGGCCAGTTGTTCCTTTGGAATGTGCAGGGTTTTGGACAACCCAGGCCTGTTGAGTTAAATGCTTTGCTGCACAGATGCCTATGAGTGTATCAATCAGAGTTCAATCAGAGAAGCAGATTACTATGAGTTAATTAAGCATTCCACAATACTTAAGAGGCTAAATAAATACTTAGCAGTGATAAAAATTTTTATTTGCTTATATATAAAAAGGAATATATAAATATATATTTATAAATGTACAATTATATGTATATTGCATGTATATATGTATGTGTGTGTGTGTTAGGTGGAGGCAGCTGCTAGCCCCTCCTCCCATCAAGGAGCCACCCTGATTACCATCAGATCTAAAAATAGTTTTGAAGCATCCTTGATAGGAGTCGGAGCTGTGGTTTCCATAACAACGCATGGTGCTGTGGTTTCCATGACAACACATCCCTGCAGCCCCAACCCTTCCACTCATCTCTGTACTTTGGGTTTAGGGTTACCTTTCCATCCTCTTCCTCTCTGTTTTACCTTCGGGTTTTTATTTTGTCTTCCTGTATATTTCTTCAGTTTCTACTTGCAAGAGTTCCCCTATCCTTCCTGCTCACTCCCCAATTACACAGCTTCCCTCCACTTCTAACTCCCAGGCTGCCAACCTCCAACATCTGGTGTGAGTCTGCACATACATTTCTCCATCTCATATAATCATTTTAAAATGCATACACTATTTTAAGTAGCCACAATTTATCTCTTTTTAAAAAATTACTGTTAAAATACTTCAGGAAAAATAAAAGGG